GCTGCATTCCAGTCCTCCTTGTCAGGGAGCAGAAGGACGTCTGAAAGAGCCCAGATCCACAAGGAAAACAGGATGCCACCTCCCTATCCACCTACCCACGAGGCGGGCAGGGGGCAGGCACGGGCCCTGCCCTTTCTCCCTCACTGCCTGGAACAAGCTCCAGGAGCGAATGGCTGCTCCTCCTGTTCTCCGGCTTCCTCCCCACCCCACTGAGTGTTGGGACGGAGCTGCAGGGGGCACAGAGGCCCATCACGGCACTTCCAACATGACTGGGTCAGAGAGGCACCAGCTCAAGCCAGAAGTGGAGGGGCTGGAGTGAGGGAGCTTGAGGGGAGCAACATGGTCCCAGGTGTTTCATGTTGACCTCTGCAGGGGCACAAACGGCCTGGAGCAGCTTAGCTTCTGCCCCTCCTCCCCCTCCCCCCCCTCCCCCTGTGTAGGACGCCCTCACTGGGCCTGGATGCACTGAGTCCCGGGGCCCCATGACCCCTGCACTAGAACATATGCTCTAGAAGCTACTCAGGTGCCAACAAACTCCCAGGACTAGGAAGGTGAACAGGTCGCCTCAGAAAAGTCCATTCAGAGAACCACACATGGTGCCAAGGGGGAGGCAAAGGCCTGAGGGCCCTACCCGAGGTCTGGCACCCTCCCTGTAAAGGCCCCTCCCCACCTGCCCCCTGAGCCCCAACCCTTCCCCACTCCAACCTGCTGCCACTCCCTCTTCCTGCCCCCAAGTCAAACCCTTTCACCTGGCCTCTCCCTGACCACCTGGGCCCCCCAGGCGCCCCACCTGTCCCAGAGTGCTTCAGCCTCTGTTCAAGCAGCTGCCCCTTCGAAGATGTCTGGCTTTTGTCTGTTGGCTAAAGCTAGTGCTTCTCTGAAGGGGAATGAGGCACCTGCAGCACAAAGGCCACTTCACAGTCCACTTCCCGCCTAAGTGTCTGAAACTGTACAGAGGGGGGCAAAAGTAGGCTTACAATTGTGAGTACACAAAAGCTTATTCTTGTGTTATTATTTATTGTATTATTTTCCCTATGAACTGTCAACCTACTTTTGCTCTGCCCTGTATTTTAAGAGGCACCCTCAAGCAATCAGAACATGGGGAAATAGGGTACACTTTGCTCACATCCTCTGCTTTTGGGTTCCACGGAGCCACTGACATACACAGCTCCCCGAGGCACCAGACGGAGGGTCTAAGACACAGTCAAGAACAGCCTGCCTGAGCTGGGCACGTGAGCTCAGTGGCGCTGCCTCTTCCCCAAGTCCCTCTCTCATGTCCAGCCCTGAGCTCTGGCTCCTCTGGCCCCTGTAGTCAACACTCTT